TTACAAGATGAACAAAAACCAGATTGAAACACCCCTATCCTAGACAGACCTGCCCATTTTGAATGGATTTGAGTGTTAATAAGAAACAAACTCTGGAATATACACAATAAATCTAGATTAAACTTGGCCACTAAGCCTTGCCTACATTTTCTACCAATTCCATACTTGGGAGACAGCACCAGCAGTAAATTAGAGCCCAATGAAAGATTAAATCAGTCATTCTAATCAAAGGTTTATCTGCACCCCTCAACTGGGACAGGATATAGCAGATAGAGATTAGGGTCCTTACAATTAGTTTCTCAAGAACCTCCCCTTCCCTTAACCTTGTTGTACCTTCAAAGTAGGGATGGTAATTAAATAGCTCTGGAGACATGATGGTAAATGTATGGCAGATTTAACTCCAAGGAAACCCTTTAATGATACAATTTTCCAATCAGTATTTGAACAACAAGGGAACTAAAAGTATGCAACTGTCCTCACATGACCTCTGTACATTAATTTCTTACCCACAATTAAGAATGTTAAATACGTATCATTTGCTAACCTTCTACATTTCTCCTTTCACAACTGTGACTGCAATGATCAGAACTGGTTTAAATCAACATGACCTACAACATACTTGCACCTCTCCTCTTCCAGAAAGTAACTGCCCGTTGAAGCTTTTATTAAATTTCCAATTATCCATGATTGTTCAAACTAATCTATTTGATCCAACAATATCTTAATTGCTTCTACATCATCTAAAAAGCTTGTATTCTATAACTTTTCTGCACTTTCTATGTATAAAGAAAGATTTTTTTAAAGAAGTTTTCTTGAATCTATGATGTGTGGTTCTGAAGACAAAGTTGTTTTCGAAAAGCATTGTCAGCCTTACTACAAATCCAACATGCAATCAAGTGAGAAAACAGTACATGTTATAACCTTTGACCTTCACAGATAAAAATAGTGAATGAGGAACAACTCTAATCAGTAGCTAACACCTGTGGTCTAAAAAAAGTGAAAATGTTGCCGCAGAAACAGAAATATCTTCTCAGGACTTGGCAGGAAAAAATCGAACAGATAACAAGGAGTCAACATTACAGCAATGATGTCCTTTTTTATCTGTAGGTGTTGGAACCCAAAAACTGAACATGCTAAATAGTTTTCAATCTTGTCAAAAACATGAATGTAACTTTTTTGAGTGACGCATATTGATTACCCCAATACTTACCTTCACTATCATAGTGGTCAAGGGAACTAGGACACGACCACTCTGTCAGCCAGTGGACCATCAAAATCATAAGGTAGCATCCCGAAACAAAGGCAAAATAATGGTAGCCTCTGTCCACCAAGGTCAGCCATTCAAGGTCACTGACCCTCATGGTGTCACAGACTGGTCATCATGAAATCTTACTACCACCTTCCACAAGAAGACGATGACCATTTGGAAATTTTTTATAGATGTAACATCAAATACTGACCATTTGAAAACTGGTCACAGTTCCTTCGGACAATTGCCAGCATAGGATGACCTTTATTACGACTGACTGTCAGATTCAACATTCCATACTGTTCACCATTAATTTGACCACCATATTTCTCATCTCACACAGACCATCAAGTCATGTGACAACAGGACTGTTGAGTTGTCAAATTCATCTTCTGTCATATCAGGAAGACAAACTCAACAAGATTTCTCTTACGGTGACCAAAACAGTTATTCTTTTTATATACCTGAACTCTCCATTAAAAATCACAAAAATCCGAATGAAAAATGAACACAAGAATTCGATGTACTGTTTAAGGCTGTGGTGAGATCATTTGTTGACTAGACGATGTCCAAACCAATGAAGGCCTTTAAAAACAGCTTAAAATACTGACCACTCATCAGTGTTAAAATATTGACCAGTCATAGGTACTTGGACCATATCTATAACAGTCTGTACATAAATGGCAGAGATCACTACACCCAGACAATCAACCACACAATGGAACACTTTTATCAAACAGAAACATTACATAAGTTCTGTGGACTCCATATTCCAGGTCTGACATTTAGAGATGGATAAGAAATGTTTGCCCTTAATACTGGTGAATAGGTCTGGTTTTACTCAGGGTACATCTACCCAAAACGTTCCAAGTCAGATTTAGTTTTCAAACTCATCCAGGTGTGGATGAACATAATCAATGGATTTCAATTTTTTCACCTGTGACTAGGGTACACTTTCTTGAGCAGAACCAATTTTTTTTAACTATATAGATAAATGGTTAGACTGTCATTACACAAACAGCAATATAACCAGTTCTATATACCATCCTGATAATGTCTTTATGGCATTTAAGAAATAAAACATGCTTCCAGCAGACTATGGGACCACCCAATCCTAACAAACTTAGTTATCACAGACAAAGAACAGCCCCCTTTGAACCATTGATTTTTTTCCTGACGTATACATGAATATATTGTGTCTAAATAGACAACATTTACTTAACTGATAAGGCTGTATAATTTACAGGACGTCTATCTGGTGACAATTCACAGGACTTTTAAAAACTTGATATCACAGCTGGTTTCTCCTTCAGTCCAAACATGTGATTACTTTTCAGTTTTCAATAGAGAAAGTTTAAAATTCGGTAAGCCATATGGTATTTAAGATATACCACTCGACATTAAATGTAGGAAAAACTCAAATAATGGCACATGTTTAGGTTGAAGATCACTTCAAGGATACCTCTTGTTGCTTTCCATCAGGAAATTACAGATTAACATTCCTTGTCTCATAACATCTCCATTCTCTCCTTTTTACTAAACCCCCTCCCCATCTCCCTCTACCCCTCCCTATCACTTCTAGACCCCCTCCTATTTCCCCTCCCCCATTACTTTTCCACCCACTCCCTCTACCTCTTCCCATCACTTCTCCATTCCCTCCCTCTATACCACCCTTTAACTTATACACCCCCTCCTTGTACCCTTGCAATCAATTACACATTCCCCTCCATCTACCCCTTCCAATCAATTCTACATCCCCTCCATCTAACCTTTCCAATCAATTCTACACCCCCTCCATCTAACCTTTCCGATCAATTCTACACCCCCTCCATCTAACCTTTCCGATCAATTCTACACCCCCTCCATCTAACACTTCCGATCAATTCTACACCCCCTCCATCTAACCTTTCCAATCAATTCTAAACCCCCTTTATCTAACCTTTCCGATCAATTCTAAACCCCCTCCATCTACCCCACCGATCAATTCTACACCCCCTCCATCTTCCCCGCCGGTCAATTCTACACCCCCCCCCCCTCTCTCTCTCTCTACATCTATCCACTACTTCTCCATCAGTCCCACCCACTGCCGTACTCCCTCTTCTCCCATTTACCATAATTTCTCCTTTCCTTCCCTTTCCTTTTTTAATGAGTACTTTATCAATTAATTCACTGTCATTTCTACCCTGATCAAACAAAGGAATGTTATTAATATTGATGAAAAGAACAAACAATAATTTCTATTTTTTAAAGGAAATGAGTCAAGTTGATAAAATAACAGCCATTTTGTTGTCATTAAAACCAGACAGGAAGATTTGGGAGACATGCTTATTTCATTAGATATCAAAAGGAAACATTTCCCTGATACCTCTCCCAATAACTTATAACCACTACAGATAAGTGTGGGGCTTACAACAAACAAATCCCTAGTTGCCATCCCCCAGACTTTCTGGACAATTGAACCTGTTAACAGAGCAAACTACTCTAATAGTTTACATCCTCAATCTTCAGTAGCGAGTGCAGAGCACTGTAATATGAGTCAGGACAGACACTAGGAAATATCATCTATCTTTAATATGAATGGGTGTTTCAATTATAACAACTGTTCTTTATTGTGATATCTTGAAAATCTTCATTTTTATATCTTATTTATTTTCTGAACAAATATTACTTTAATAATTTCTCTTTACTTCTGACCTCATTCAACATCACAGATGTACATGTTTTGTACCCCTTAAAATTCCTTTTTATTTTTCCACTTTACTAGGAATAACTCAAAAAAGTGTGCTTTTGGTCCTTTTTGACTAATATGGCCTATTATTCTAATTTTCAAAAACTTATTTGCATTCTTTAGAGAAGAAATTACAGGAAAACTGGATAAGATTGCGATAAGGGATACCTGCTGTTTCGGTCTAGGATGTTATAGTGTCTGATGGGATTAATTTAAATGTATATTTTATTACACACCTCAACTCTATCAAATGACGACAAGGGAAAGTACTTAAGTAGTAGTCAGGCCAAATGGTAAAGGTAGTGTGAATACTTAAGCACATGTTTAACATGCCCCAGCTCAAATCATCATCTTCAAGGCATGAAATTGGCAGTCAGATTAGTGTGTATGTCCAGAGTATAAATGGGGAACACATGCTCTCTCCCAGTAGGAACTTCTCATCTTTTTCACATTTCTTGACTGAATGGTTATAAGCTTGGAACAGCATAAAACCTCTTCCATAATGATCTAGTAGAACTAATTTACAACAATGATAATATTGTGTCGACAAATATAGAAGATGTATTGAAACACTGATACTAAAGTTTACACAACACACACAACTCACACAACACACACAACTCACACAACACACAAACACACCCACAAACACACCCACCCACACACAAATATATACATGAGATATGAAGCTGTCCATGTTGATGTGCTGCCAGAGTTGTTTTTTATAGTTTAAGAGAACCTGTAGTGATACAATCTCTGAAATACATAGGTCATATATATATTTTTTTTATATAGTACATTTTTATACTAAGGGAGATAACTTCAACATGCCTACTTTCTCAACCCTGAATAACCCATTAGAAACGGACTGCATATGAGCTCTGCCTGGGTACCTAGTTCCACATGTGGCTCCTAAGTCCCGCAAGAGCCTCTAGAGTCCCATATGTGGCTTCCATGTCCCATGTGGGCTTGGAAAGTTCCACAAGTGACTTCCATGTCCCAAATGTTACTCCTAATACTTACCATTTTGTTTCTGAGATGTACTGGACTTGGTAACGACTTCTTGTTTGTTGGGGGTTCGTGAGGAAACCCCAGACTTTTTGTTAGTGATGTTATTGGTAGATTTGTTGGTTGTTTGTGCATCAGTGGATGACAGACGTTTTCCTGAGGTGGGGCGAGCTGGTGACAGCGCCTTGGGGGCTATAGAACCAAGGACATGCAATTAAATACCATACACCATATCTACTGTCATGTTGCTCTCTTCCTTGTTTTGGATAGACACAATTTAAAACATGATCCACAATAAATAACTTTAAACATACGTATCTTGATAGGATCCAGTACCAATATTGGGCCATACCATCGATTCTTTATACGGTTGTATATGAAATAATTTTACAATATACAAGCAACCAAACCATGATTTACATTTTTCTCAACTTAGAAATGTGTTTTCAATGTTTTTTGGCACATGACAATAGATGTTCCATGCAATGTTACAAAAATACAAATGTATAAAAATATGAGTATGCTGCAGTTTGTTAATACAAATGCAAAGCCTACACCAATCTGTTGCACCCCGACATAATCTCAAAATATTCTCTCTTTCACTCATCTCCTTTTTACATGACATGTTCTGCTGTCTTCACAAGCTTACTGCATCAAGTCATCAAGCTACTTGAAGAGTGCAACACCACAGAAAGCGGTAAAAAGTGCTGAGCTGAGGTGCGAAGAAGTCCATGTTGATGTGCTACCAGAGTTGTTTATAACCGTTTAACAGAACCCGTAGTGATACAATCTCTAAAATACATAGGCTACTGCCTGCTGTAGACGGTTTTTATAATTGAATTACAACTTCCTGTGAAATACTTCATTATCATTTTAATTAAAAACATTAATACATTCTCACAGCCAATTTCAATTCATCAAGAATTCTTTCTTAATACCTGATATATCTATTGAAGTTGTAACCAGAAATTACCTGGACTTTAAAATTAATTCTCATGTTGGCTTCCTCAAAAGAAATTCATTTGTGTATAAATGCCATTGATACCTATTATATTTAACTGAGTGTATAGCTCATTAAATCAAGAAGTATACCTTACACCAATCCATCTGTCTCTATAAATCAGTAAATTCCTTTCCCATGTGCTAAGGACCAAGCATAAGGCCTTGATTGGCAAAATCTACATTCCAACTGCAGGCTAGACTTGGGGTTTAGTCTTAGAAACTAATAGTGAGTAATATTGAATTATTACATGAAAGCAGCATTGATTAAAGGAGATGTTCCAAGTACCACCTGCTATGCTATAGGTGAGAGCATTTGTTAATTTCTATATCAGTATACCTATATTACCACCAACTCACATCTGATGGGAGGGGGGATGCTGCTTTTAGCGGGCATGGATTTCCGCCGTGTCGGAATAGACTCGGAAATCTTCAAGTTCTTAGCATTCATCACCTTCACAGAGCCCTGAAATAAACAAGTTGATGTATCACAAATCAGAGAAATAACAGATGCAAGGCTTTAGCTATTCTGAGGACCAGAATAAATCCTTCAGTTTTGAGAAATCAAAAAAAGAAGAGCACAGCTTTGCTTTAAAATATATTTTGGTCAGATATACTTTGGCATACATTGAGAGTAAAGGAATCAATACAGTGATGATAGAACCGTGTTGAAAGTTAAAGGGAGGTAACTCCTGTGGTGCTGTATAATTTTGTTTGGAAACTGCAAAAGCTTACAGATCTAAAAAAAGGCACTAAAGTGGGAAGAGTTAGTCTCCCACTCCTGAGAAGAAGATGTGTGTGATTGAGGAATTATCATTCAAGCTTTAGTAGGAGAAGTCTCTCATTGGAGTAATCTCCCACTGATGTGGGAAAGTAATCTCTCATTGGAGTAATCTCCCACTGATGTGGGAAAGTAATCTCTCATTGGAGTAATCTCCCACTGATGTGGGAAAGTAATCTCTCCCACTGATGTGGGAAAGTAATCTCTCATGGAGTAATCTTCCACTGATGTGGGAAAGTAGTCTCTCATGGAGTAATCTCCCACTGATGTGGGAAAGTAATCTCTCATGGAGTAATCTTCCACTGATGTGGGAAAGTAGTCTCTCATGGAGTAATCTCCCACTGATGTGGGAAAGTAGTCTCTCATTGGAGTAATCTCCCACTGATGTGGGAAAGTAGTCTCTCATGGAGTAATCTCCCACTGATGTGGGAAAGTAGTCTCTCATGGAGTAATCTCCCACTGATGTGGGGAAGTAGTCTCCCATGGAGTAATCTCCCACTGATGTGGGAAAGTAGTCTCTCATGGAGTAATCTCCCAATGATGTGGGAAAGTAGTCTCTCATGGAGTAATCTCCCACTGATGTGGGAAAGTAGTCTCTCATGGAGTAATCTCCCACTGATGTGGGAAAGTAGTCTCTCATGGAGTAATCTCCCACTGATGTGGGAAAGTAGTCTCTCATGGAGTAATCTTCCACTGATGTGGGAAAGTAATCTCTCATGGAGTAATCTTCCACTGATGTGGGAAAGTAGTCTCTCATGGAGTAATCTTCCCTGTTGTGGGGAGGAAGGGAATGATTAGGGTAATCTCACACTATTTGGGGAAAGTAGCAAATGATTGTTGGTAATGTCCCACTGCTGTGTGGAGGAAGAAATGATTGGGAGTAATCTCCAACTGCTGTGAGGAGGTAAGGAATGATGTCCTTACCTGTGAACTGTCAGACACTGAACTAGATGAACTGTCGTGTCGTTCTCGTCGAATCAAAGCCACTGCAGGGTCTACAACAGCAATTGTAAATATTTAAGTCACCATAGATTTTAAGCTTTTCCTTCTAACATTCAGAACATTTTGTTTACATGTTAGAAAATTTGCTAAGAAACCAGACAATCTAGATTCTAGTAGAAACTAACACACAATGGGTATCAAAAACACTTTTGCATGACAAACCTTTAAGATATAAAAACAGCAGAATGAACCAGAATATTTAGAGGCTGGTGCTTTGTTCTTTATTTTTCATGTTTACCTGCCTCATTGGAGCTCTAATTGATATCTATAAGTACCCTGCAGAGATCTGACTACCAATATATAACAACCAGGATGTTGATTCTGTTGCCTTTTTTCAATTTCCTTCTTTTTGTTAGATGGATGAGTTTTGTTAGAATCAAATGCTATGCATTACCTGAATTCTCCTTTAAATATTATGAAAAATGTAGTGTTGTATATTAACTTATCAAATATACTTTCCAATAAATGTATATTGCTATTTATGCATCTAGGCAGATCTGAGCAATTGTAAGAGCTGATGTTCGCTTTTTCAGGCAAAGGTTATCATCTAACAGGAAAACTGTACAACTATAAGGACTAATTAATTCTAATATCAAATACCACTAATATTTCTTACACATCATTATCATTTATCACTGACATCACTTATCATTGATGTCAATGATAAGTATTATTAACTCAAAGTAGCTAGTTTTAGAAACCAACATGTCAGTACTCTCTAGATGCCATAATGCAACACCTTTACCTGTATATAAATGTCTAATATCCTCCCGTTTAAGGACAGAAGTGAGAATACCTCTCAGTCATTACTTCTTTCTTGGGTTCATATAACGCCATATCACCCTCAACAAGTGCATAACTGATATATATCTACTTGCACTCCAAAATTAAATGTATTCCTTGAAGTAAACAGTGTACCTAATAAAGCTGTCAGCAAACATAATGACATTTTGATGAACATAATTTTGAACATATAACATGGAACACTTGAGTGATCTCAATCAGTCTCTGCCAATAACACAGCAGTCTAGAAAGCAATACCTACCTGGCCTATAATTGCAATTTAAGAAAACAAACATGGGAACCTGATGCGTGACATTATGGTATAAATATGTTAATGGTTAATATAAGTAGGCTAATTGAAATTACCTGTACATATAAACAGGTGAAAAGTCAGTTTCATTCCAACCTCTACCTACCAATAATATAAATAACGTAGATAAGTCAGAAACCTGAAGCCACTTTCTGAATGAGACATTCAAATGAAATTTGTTATCTTGCCAACTTATCTCTAATAGTTTTATTATACTTTGACAAGAGAGTAATTGGATTTAGAAAGTAAATCTTTGTTATTTTAGCCAAAATGTAATTACATTATTCTCTCAAAAGATGAACCAGACATATAATAAAAATATCATATATCATGACGGACTTTTTTTTCACCTTTGACAAAAAAATGTATCACATGAAAGTAAATTTTCTACAGAAGTGGATGTGTTACTGTCTTATCTTGAAGTGCTGGGGTTATACAGGTAGTCTAATTGTGTGGCTTTATGTACAAACACAAACAATAAAAAAATTTAGGATATCTTCTCAGTAGTATTTATATAAGAACTTTTATCTTTAATCATCCTTTTGCCTCTAATATGATTTAGATTTATGATCTTATAGATAATTTCATAATGATGGGAAGTATAGACATAGATTTAGGTATCTTCCATTACACAGCTGATATTTATATTACATTTCTAATCATTACTGTTCCGCGTTTGATTACAAAGATTCATATTTTTCTGTGATGTAGAAAATTCTAGCCATGGATCAGAGAATCTTTCCCCTTCCTTCGACTGTTCCTTTACCTGTACAGTAGTAGCCTTTTACCTATAAAATTTTCTCCTTATCACAGGTGTTAAATGCTAAATCCATTATACTCCACATGAGAAATCAATACATTAGATTAGGTCACATGATCATTACCAACCTACACCGTTTTAACTTTACTTACTGAAAATTTTAACCTATAATCCTTCCATTAATGATTCTATCGAGTATTTGAGAAACAAAATTCAAGGTAAATGGTTATAATTGATTATGATCATACAAAGCTTATCAAGGAGATTGTTTTAATCGCTGTGTAAACGACTGGTCAGACTTGATGTATAGATATACAGTGCAGGATCTAGCTGAGGTCGTGAGTGTATAAAATATCCGACAGATCAACCACCATGTATATGTAACAGCGTCCCTCGGGGAAGTAGATAGCCAGACATATTATTATAGTACCAGAAAAACAAAGTATAAGCCTGATCAATTTTTAATATTGATCTAAATGGTTTAACTCTCTCTACTGGTATTACAATGTTCTAGCAGTATCAAGTTGCCTGCATACATTTGAAAATGTCTGAGAGTGATGGATTTTAAACTGGTAAATGATATGCAGTGTCTATACCCTGAAACAGTATAGTCCTATACCAGGGTTTACAGACAGGAAATCCTGGACTGAATTCTGTTATGTCATGTATGCTTAAATAAACACACTACAAAAATCGATAATTAACATAGAAATGCTAAACAGAGGAAAAATCAATATCCCAAGTGTTTATAGAGAGTGAGTAAAGCACTAAACATGGCTGACTGCGAGGACTTCGACCTCGTTCTGGAATTTCCATGTGTTCTAGGCCTTTATTTCTGGGTACAGAGTGTAGCTTGCCTTTATTTCTGGGTACAGAGTGTAGCTTGCCTTTATTTCTGTGTACAGAGTGTAGCTTGCCTTTATTTCTGGGTACAGAGTGTAGCTTGCCTTTATTTCTGGGTACAGAGTGTAGCTTGCCTTTATTTCTGTGTACAGAGTGTAGCTTGTCTTTATTTCTGGGTACAGAGTGTAGCTTGCCTTTATTTCTGGGTACAGAGTGTAGCTTGCCTTTATTTCTGTGTACAGAGTGTAGCTTGCCTTTATTTCTGGGTACAGAGTGTAGCTTGTCTTTATTTCTGGGTACAGAGTGTAGCTTGTCTTTATTTCTGGGTACAGAGTGTAGCTTGCCTTTATTTCTGAGTACAGAGTGTAGCTTGTCTTTATTTCTGGGTACAGAGTGTAGCTTGTCTTTATTTCTGTGTACAGAGTGTAGCTTGTCTTTATTTCTGGGTACAGAGTGTAGCTTGTCTTTATTTCTGGGTACAGAGTGTAGCTTGCCTTTATTTCTGGGTACAGAGTGTAGCTTGTCTACAGCAGAGCCTGTATTATCCAGAATGTGCTTACAGATATATCACATCTGTCAAAATGGATCCAGACCAATTTTTTTCCTTTAAATATGTACAACTTTCTCATATCGTAAATAACTTTCCCTGTGTTTAACAAGTGTGTTCTGAAAACCAGTGAACTCTATGGCACATCTCTATATTTAGTTTAACAGAAATATCTTATTATTATTTGCAAAAGAGATTCATTTACAAAACTGAGGTTTCTAGAGAAACATCATCCAAATTTGATATAAATATTGAAAATTAATACTTTCTTTCAAAACTTTAGACATTTCAGAACATGATTAACCTGCTAGCACACCGAGATTTTCAGTATTCCAATTATGAATCTGAATGATAATTTCTCTGATTTGGCCTGTGTGTAATGATGTTTCTCATTATGAAACTTGTTTGAATTTGTGTTAAATTCAATTTACATATACTTAGATATACATCATACAATGTGGAAATTTGACAGTAACCACCTGCTGATGACTGAAAAAAGTTTCAATCTTAAAATTAAGCACTCAGGTACAGCTGATACTTCAGCATAATAAATCACACTTACAAGATAAATTACTTAGATAAGGCTCTAACCATAATCATTTATGGATCAGTCACACAAGGTGAGGATTAGGTACAGAAAATTCAAAGAAAACTATTGATTTATTGACTTTAAAGTTTTAAAGCGATGCAAGAGAAATTAAGGATGATTTAATTAAATGTCGGACATTTATACTGGTCAGTCCAGCTCTCAATCACTGGTCAGTTTATTACGTCTAGCTCTCAATCATTGGTCAGTTTATCTAGTACAACATTATTATCCCCTGGACATCAAAACTAGACAAATTAAATGTCCATCAGAGCTTCAGTAAAGTGTTTATCAGTGGTCTACCCTGAGGCGACTCCACTCAACTCTACCATCAGTTAATGTAGAGATATAGGATAAAAACCATCATCATTGGTATACATCAGAAACACAAATCTCAACAAAAAAAACTGCATATATCCACAGAGTACAAACTGAGAGATGTGAAACTTTCTGACTTTGTCATAACTTGATAACAGCTCTAATCCTCACTTCAGCTCTTCTAAACCAAGTTGACCAGTCTGAGGACACACCTGATTGGTTAGATTATGATCTTAAGTAGGTCAATAATTACCTATGATGGAACAATTGACCTAGATAATTAACCAGTCCAACTATAAATATGTCTGCTAATCTGACTACATTTGATCCGGAACCTGTTTTTTCTAGCATATCCATACCCTTCCTATAGCCTCTGGTTGTTTTGGGTTGAAACATCACTCAAAGAACCTGTTCTTGGATCAAATCCTCACCAGTGTATACTTCTATTTACAATGTATTATTGAAGTCCTTTGCTGTCTTTCTTAATTCCAGAATCCCATACACTGTCTATCTATATAGACCTATATAGACAATTTTCTCTTCTGTCCAAATAATGAATCCCCTTCCTTGTATTCTGAGCAAGAATTTATACTTACTTTCTGGTTTACTTCCAGGACGGGGCGTGTTCGATTCTTCATCGGTCTTATCAGTCCGACTTGCCTCTGATTGGCTGCTCCGAGCCGAACTTAAAGCAGAATCCAACACACTGCTGCCAAGCGAATCATTGAGATCGAGTTTAGGCACTACACTGCCAGCCGTGCTGACAGAGGAAGTTCGTCTACTGTTGTCTCCCTTGGAGCCACGTCCAGAACGTGGAGATTGATCTCGCCCTCCTCCAGATGGAGAACGGTCACGTTTGATGACAGGAGGTGGAGGCCCCAGACATAGCTTACTCTTGACCTTGCTGTAATCTGGTTTAGGCACTGCTGGAAGTTTGACCTTAGATTTGACCTCTTTAGCGACTTCCTCTTTTTTAGGGGGAGGAGTTGGGGCCGGTGTCGAGAGGTAGGTCTCTAACTTACTTTTCACCTCAGCCTTGGGCTTCACTTTGCCTTTGTCTTCCTCTATTTGTGACATTATATTGCCCCACTTACTTTTCGGAGGTGTACGTTTGATAATCTTTGGCGGTTCCTTTTCCACTTTCTTACGCCTGTTTCTCTCCTCACTCACACCCTCATCTCCATTTTGTTTGGATTTTTCTGTGTCCTCCTTCGAAATTTTTTTCTTACTTTCAGTATTTTGTTTTGGTTTGGGAGGTTCCTTCACCTCCTCTTTAACCTTTACTGGCAGAGGAGCTTTAATATAATCCCCGAGGCGAGATTTCACATTTACATTTGGTTTTTTGTGCTCCACTTTCTCCACCTCCTTTTTCTTTTTGAACTTAAATTTATTCTTTGTTGGTCCAGTATCACTTTTATCTTTAGGTACATTTTTAATCTCTTCATTTTTCTCTTCACTTTGTGAGGTCACTGGCACTTCACCTTTGACCTCAGTTTCCATCACAGTAGAATTAGAACTGTCCACTACCTCCACTGTCACCTTCAACATAGTGCTGTCATTGTCTGTTTCTTTATCAACAACTGTTAAATCTACCACCTCCTTTTCCAAAATTTTTGCTTCGTCAGAAACTTTCTGACCTTCTGTGTCCTTGACATCTTGACCTTGGTCAGCTTCTATGCGATCATCTTCCATCTGTGAACTGCATGCTACAGGATCCACACTTCCAGCAAACTATATAAATAGAAATGACTTCTGTAATCTATATCAATGTTATTTATCTTTCCTGTAATAATCTCATATCCATTGATAAGCCCACCCATATATCTATTTGCTCATTAGCAAAATTACAAAAACAATTGTTATCTAAGTGTTTAACACTGATGTAACACGTTGACCACTGGGATTATTTTCCTGCAATAAGCCCACCCTCTGACTTTAAGACAGATGTAATATGTTGACCACTGGGATTACTTTCCTGTAATAAGCCCACCCCCTGACTTAAAGACAGATGTACTACGTTGACCCCTGGGATTATTTTCCTGTAATAAGCCCACCCCCTGACTTTAAGACAGATGTAATATGTTGACCACTGGGATTACTTTCCTACAATATCACCATCCCTGATGTGCTGTCCTCTGACCTTGAATCAAGAGAAATACATGTATTGTACCTGGTATTATATATGAACCAAGCATATCTTTGTTGTTATATTCCTCTCTTTACAGCTCTGACACTAACCAACTTACATTCATACAATGATATATACACCAAAATTACTACATCACACCTCACAAGTAATTTCATCACAATCAACCCTGCAGCAGCCTAATGATAGACCAGACAGGAAGAAAATCCAGACCTGGCAAGAACTTATACGAGTTGTTAACCTTTATGACATCCTTAATTATTTCTGGTTCCATTTCTATATGCACTTTTCCTCCTAACTGGTGAGGACTAAAAACTTAATTTTCCTCTGTACTTGTGATCTTTTTGCACTTACTAATGATTTGGATAGTGTGAGTTTAAAGCAATAAAATTGGCAATAAAACTGACACCTTGTTTCTTTAGATTCAAAAACTTTCTACTTAACCTATAACCTATACTAGGAAAGTCTGAAGTGCCATGTTGATAATAGATGAATACATTTAAAGCCTTACTGTAATGTGTTATAATATATCAAAGATCAGAAATAAAAAACACACATACCTCTAATACCTGTACAGTAAAACATACAGCTATAGCCAATTCACCAAACTAACATTTTTCAGAAACAGTATTCTTTACGTGGAGTTGTGACGATCCCCCTATATACTAGGATTAGAGAGTGTCTATCTATGTTTATAAGTACCATCAAGTGCCTTCAGGTATACAGAGGCAGAATTGATATACATGTATACGGTGGCCAGATTGATATAGAGTGTCAACGTAATGTGCGTGTTGTCAGACAGGTAGACAGCCGAGGTATGACCAGCGGACAACATCAAATTTACTGTTTGTCTGTTTTGATGTATTATCTAGGAAAAAATAGGTATTCTGTGATGGATGCTGTCCCTGAAATCTACTATATATTATCTAGAAAGTGGTACATATTTGTAGCAGATGTTATCACCAGGAACAGTTTTATCTAGAATAGTTGAAGACATTTTGAACCCAATGCTATTACTAGGATACCTATAATGAAAAAAAAATTCTACATATTTATCATGATGCCCCTCTCCATGACCAGAGGTTTCCATAACCAGTATTTATTGTGGAGAATATAGAGCAATATTTAGTGTCAAGATGTTTCTGATAAAAACTTTCAATTACTACAATATAAGTGTTATCAGATATATCATGTTTGACTCTAATTCAACAATTTATCACGCCTTCCTAACATTGGCAGTGTGAGATACTATGTCAAGCGGAAACTGTCAACAAACAAGCAACCTACACCAGTCACAAACTAAATGGACTGGAATACTGTCTGCTAACAGAAATATACCACCTATCAAGTCAATTTAACAAGCTGAGTATGTCTATTACAATAATTGCTTATTTTTTATCAATTTAAAAGCGGGTCAACGATTTTATGAGCAAAATGCCTGTCATTGAAGGCTGCTAATGTGAATCTTCAAATTTCCTTTACACTTTAAGGAATTAGTGATTTCAAATTTTGAAAGGGATAATGGATACATACATGATCGTTTCTAGCAAAATCACCATAGTAACAACACAACGCAGGATGAATTATATTTTGTTTTGTAGAAAAATTGCTGATGGAGTCAGTCTACAGATGTAGGGTGTCAGAAAAACCTCATCTGAAATATTGTATCAACAGACAATAAGTCCCTGCTTGGTAATCAGTCCATTCATACAGGCTCATCTCAAAATAATGAAACAAAGCTATTTCATTGTCCTGTAATAAGCCCATACCCTGACATTGAGAAAAACGTAATGTATTAGTCCCCTGAGCTTGTTGCAGGATAAACACAGGTCACTGAGCTAAAATTTAGATTGGTTGGATAATTCCGCATCAGACAACTTCCAATCTGAAAGCTAAGATAGTCTAAGTGCTGCAGCCAGTTGTCAAGATAACAAGCTGGAGTAGGCACCTAGAGATGGTTGTCCAAAGTGCCTGAACATCATACTGACCGTTTCCTGAGCAGTATCCACCACTTGGTCATCACCTTGACCATCAGTCACTGGCACCACATCCTGAGAGTTCATTCCTTCCACGTCCATCAACAGACAACTCATATTCTCCCTAAAACACAGACCACATGCTTCTAAAATAATGGGTAAGTCCGAAATAAAGCTGCTCTTAGCTTCTTCTGTTGATACTGTAGTGAGACTTAACTGTCGATACACATTTGAGATGACATTGTTGATAACTTTTATCAAAATTACCAAACACTGCAAAATAGCTGTATCAAGTTCTTTCTTCTTCTGTAGTAACAAAAGGTAAACAAAATTAATGACTTCTAGACTGAATACAAAATCCACAATTGACGATTGCCCATAGTTACCAAACTATGTCCCGAAAACACAACAGCAGATTGATAAAGAATTCAACAATAATTCTTAAAGCACATGTCCAGTTGACGATATACTGTATACTTCCATACTAATATTTTCTTCATCAATATATCTGTGAGTAGTGTCCAATGAAATGTGTTCATTACTGAGTTACTGCTTATAAAACACGAGGTTGTGTCAAAGCTGTACCCTTTCTGCGAAGTATTCTAAATAACAGTACGTAAACACAGCTAAATCCCACTATGAATGAATCGTATCAGTGATTTTTTTTTCACTTTTAAAAACACTTTAAGCACCTAGCTTCTGTGATTGCCAGTGACCTTTGTAATATTGTTTAACAGTAAAATCCAAGCTGTACAAATACTACAGCACAGCCTTTAAACCACGACAGACCCATTTCCTTTCTAATCGCCCTGAGGTATTGTCGTCCTAGGGAGTCAAGTAACTCCTGATTGTGTTAAGCACGGTACTGTCCGACAATCATTACAGGTAAAAACACAGGTAAAAACCCAGCTAAAAATGCAACAGGTATACAATCTGTGACACTAAGGTGCATCAGCATGATCTAAAGATCTGTTTAAGGTGCCGAGCTGTCGATTGAAACACACGTAAGCCATTGTGACCTTCTCTATAATCCAAGCATTAACTCACAACTCAAATTTTAATCTTCACAAATCTCTGCTGGTACTTTTAAATTGTTCAATTGTTGAATTCCATGGTTGGTACTTTAAGATTTAATTTGCATATGAGATGGTGACTGTGCTGGATGTTATATCTATTCCCATGAAATTTACTTCAAAGGATTATTTTCACACTTGCTCACGGTACAATCACGTTTAAATGTACCGTACTAAAATAAATTTATTTTAAAATCTAATACACATCCAGAGTTATATTTAGTTATGGCTATTTACCAACACATCAAAGTACTAACAAACCAGAATAATTTTGTTTACTAACAATTCTAATGTGTTTATAATTACCATAAAACTTGTTGGTATTGCCATAAAATTGTATGAGCATTGTAGGTAATTATATCTGTGATTAGATCTACAGTTAATTACTTCTATCATTAGGATATGACTGAGATTTACACGCATCATTGTTAGGTACTTCTCTTTATGGCGAATCTTACATTAACATTTCATTAACATAATAATGTGACATTATTAAGGAATCAAGCATTTAAATTGACTTTCCACATCAGATAATACTTACATAGAATGTGCAGAGGATTTGTTCAAAATCAAGACAATTCTAGACATCAATTTATGATAGAATTGTATTGATACAACACAATATTGGCAGGGGTTACAGTTATACAGTTTTCACCCATGGAATGTTTTATTAAGCAACCGCTGACCCAAAACTTCATAATTCAACCCCTAACAACTGATTAACACGAAATCCATTAATTACGCCCTCCCTATTAATTAACCCCTAACCTTTGACCTGACACTTTTAACTCCTATTTCTTACCCTCTATCAAACCTATTTTGTCCTCAGATCCTATAACTATGTTACCCTGACCCTATAGTTCTGACACTAGTCCAGACATCTGTTGATTCTTTCGGGATTTTTTCTCAAACAGGCCCAAAACCTCTATCCCTAACACTCTAAACTTTGACCTATGACCTTTACATTCTAAATCTGACCAATGGCTCTTGCAATACTACACTGACCTATGACTCCTGATTTTTCAATCTTGACATATGACCAAATTTGTCCTTACCTTGACCTTCTAACCCTAATCTATAACTATAAATTCCATCCCCGAATTTCCTTCTCCTTGAAATACTAATTCTTTAACATGATACATACAATTCGAGAATACCAGTGCTCTTCAGAGTGTCATCCTCTGGTACGATTGTTCCAGCATCACTGTATAGGTCAGAATCGCTGTCAATTCCCTGTGATCGTACAGTCCGTGTCACTCCTGAAAAGCAACATATCAAATATTTCAATAAACAGTAAGACTATGGTTAAAATTCTATTAAAGATTCTTAAAAATATTTAATGAAAATTCAAAAAGGTTTTATAATCACTCAAAATTTTGGTGAATGCTGGTTGATATTTATGAGTTACTTTACAGTGTGGTAAAAGCATGGCATTATCACTATACTTAAGTAAAATTTCATCAATGCTTCTTAAATTTCAGTGGCAACTTAGATCCAGCTCCTTTGAGATCAAAGCTGTAACAAATTATCAAACAGATGTGAACAGTGTAAACTACATCAGATCACCATGAACACCATTCCCGAGTAGAATGAAAAATATAAGGTGACCTTATTTTTTGTATTTAGTGACAAATCTGATTGGTTCAGCTTCTCAGACTTGATAGGGAAGTTATATTTTTTGTATCGAAATGAAACAGATCAGACAGGCATCAAGTGTTTTGTGACAACAACACCACAAATCAACAGTTTTAATGTTGTAAAAGGCGTGACTCACATCTTGTAATCAATGTTCAAGGAACAAACCAGTCGTGGGGACAATATGGGGGATTGGCGACTAGGGATGTATAATTCAGCCAAACATCATCAGTAGATAAGATAGTAGTGACAGGGGCAGGAACTAACGATGTCAGTCTATCATATACTGGAGACAGCCACTATCGGTGTCTGATCTACCAGATACTGGAGACAGCAACTAACAATGTCAGTCTACCATACACTGGAGACAGCAACTAACGATGTCAGTCTATCATATACTGGAGACAGCCACTATCGGTGTCTGATCTACCAGATACTGGAGACAGCAACTAACAATGTAAGTCTATCATACACTGGAGACAGCGACTAACAATGTCAGTCTACCATACACTGGAGACAGCAACTAACGATGTCAGTCTATCATATACTGGAGACAGCGACTAACAATGTCAGTCTATCATATACTGGAGACAGCAACTAACGATGTCAGTTTATCATATACTGGAGACAGCCACTAACAATGTCAGTCTATCATATACTGGAGACAGCCACTATCGGTGTCTGATCTACCAGATACTGGAGACAGCCACTAATGGTGTCTGATCTACCAGATACTGGAGACAGCCACTAATGGTGTCTGATCTACCAGATACTGGAGACAGTCACTATCGGTGTCTGATCTACCAGATACTGGAGACAGCAACTAACAATGTCAGTCTATCATATACTGGAGACAGCGACTAACAATGTCAGTCTATCATATACTGGAGACAGCGACTAACAATGTCAGTCTATCATATACTGGAGACAGCGACTAACAATGTCAGTCTATCATATACTGGAGACAGCGACTAACAATGTCAGTCTATCATATACTGGAGACAGCGACTAACAATGTCAGTCTATCATATACTGGGACAGAGACTAAAGTTGTCTGATCTACTAGATACTGGGATAGAGACTAAAGGTGTCTGATCTACCAGATACTGGGACAGAGACTAAAGGTGTCTGATCTACCAGATACTGGGACAGAGACTAAAGGTGTCTGATCTACCAGATACTGGGACAGAGACTAAAGGTGTCTGATCTACCAGATACTGGGACAGAGACTAAAGGTGTCTGATCTACCAGATACTGGGAATGAGACTAAAATTGTCTGATCTACCATATACTGGGACAGAGACTAAGGGTGTCTGCTCTACCAGATACTAGGACAGAGACTAAAGGTGTCTGATCTACCAGATACTAGGACAGAGACTAAAGGTGTCTGACCTACCAGATACTGGGACAGTGACTAACAATGTTTGACCTTTCAGCTACGCGGGACAGCAACTATTTGCCAGCATTTAATGAATGTGATATAGATTAAATTTGTATAACAATACAAAAGATAGAATCTTAATGCACATCCCAGTAATACACTGCTGGTGTACCTATTATATACCTACCACAAAAGAATTTCTTCATGTGAATAAAATCTAAAATAAAGATTTACATTTGCGACACCTGATTAAATCTTTGATGAAATCCATGGTTAAATTTCGTAAGAATTTTAAAATACACTGGCTTTAATGGAATTATCCATGCATTATTGTGGTAATGTACACGATTACTGAAAAAAGGTGATTAATTTACCTACGATATGGAGGATCAGATAATTAGCCAAGATAATGTTAATATCACGGTCTTTCTGTTTTATTATCACTGAAGTCTGCGGGATGAAACATCAAACGACTGAGTCTTCCCATACAGACCTATCTTTTATCTTACCTTATCTAAACTGATATGGCACTATCGTCTCTCCACTGATCACATATTCTGAGCCTAATTATGAAAATTTATATTCTACCCTAGAGAATCTCACCAGTAAACAGTATGTATTGCTAAAGGGCCACTAACTGAAAATATTACCATATCAACACAATATTATCTGTAAGTACAATGTGTGTCCTGTTGACTAACTCATATACAACATTTTATTGTTAAGTTTTATAGATCAAATCAAGGCAATGCTTGGTGTTTCCTTCCAGTTAAAAAACTTTGAAAGTCTTTCATCAGATAACATTAGGAAGGCTGTGTCTAGAGAAGAGACCAACAAACGGCTTCCTTCATTCCTATTCTGTTATCAAGTACTGGTAAAGTAAGTTAAGAAGGGATATTTATCACAGCAAACAAAACTAGAGGATATCTAATAAGAAAAAATATCAGACACTTATGAATTACATTTTTATTACTGAAGACACTGTAATATATTTTGTTTATTATATTTGCACAAGCAAAATTACTGGCATACTTAGGACAGTTATGAAAGGATGAAGCTGACAATGCTTTTCTGGGGCACTGCTCTCTCATTATAACTGGTATCCTGGTATGCATCAAAATGTAGACAGTTATTTTTTAAAAAAAACATTTAATTAACAGAAAAATTAACCTGTCACTTATTACTATTCAGCAGAAAATACAACAGTAAACTATCTATTGATGTCGACACAAATCCTCTTGAAATGTCTAGCTCCACTTTCATTTGGTTGGCGGTTTGGTTTGACCCTTAAAATAGGGTAGTTTGACCAGCATTGTTTGCTGACTTCCATGGAAATGAAAGTTTACTATAGAAGTGAACCCCCTTTAGGTTTCTGTTTTTTGGGTTATTTTTGTACCAGGCTTTATGATAGATCAATTTTATGAGATGATCTGTGTAGCTTTCTTTTAATTGGTGTCATTCTGCAAACTAGTAATTTTTAACAAGTGAAAGATAACACTTTAATCAATGTGATAGGACATCACATTTAAGCAGGGTCCTAACAATGATACCACATTTAGGCAGTCCTAACAATGACACTTCAGTTAGGCAGGGTCCTAACAATGACACCACATTTAGGCAGGATCCTAACAATGACACCTCAGTAAGGCAGGGTCCTAACAGTGACACCACATTTAGGCAGGATCCTAACAATGACACCACATTTAGGCAATCCTAACAATGACACCTCATTTAGGCAGTCCTAACAATGACACCACATTTAGGAAGTCCTAACAACGACATCTCAGTTAGGCAGGGTCCTAACAATGACACCTCAGTTAGGCAGGGTCCTAACAATGACACCACATTTAGGCAGGATCCTAACAATGACACCTCAGTAAGGCAGGGTCCTAACAATGACACCTCAGTTAGGCAGGATCCTAACAATGACACCTCAGTTAGGCAGGATCCTAACAATGACACCTCATTTAGGCAGTCCTAACAATGACATCTCATTTAGGCAGTCCTAACAATGACACCACATTTAGGCAGTCCTAACAACAACATTTCAGTTATGCAGGGTCCTAACAATGACACCACATTTAGGCAGTCCTAACAATGACATCTCAGTTAGGCAGGGTCCTAACAATGACACCTCATTTAGGCAGTCCTAACAATGACACCACATTTAGGCAGCCCTAACAATGACATCTCAGTTAGGCAGGGTCCTAACAATGACACCTCATTTAGGCAGTCCTAACAATGACACCTCATTTAGGCAGTCCTAACAATGACATCACATTTAGACAGGGTCCTACCAATGATACCACATTTAAGCAGTCCTAACAATGACACCTCATTAAGGCAGTCCTAACAATGACATCTCATTTAGGCAGTCCTAACAATGACATCACATTTAGACAGGGTCCTAACAATGATACCACATTTAGGCAGTCCTAACAATGACATCTCAGTTAGGCTGGGTCCTAACAATGACACCTCATTGAGGCTGTCCTAACAATGACACCACATTTAGGCAGTCCTAACGATGACATCTCAGTTAGGCAGGGTCCTAACAATGACACCTCATTGAGGCTGTCCTAACAATGACACTACATTTAGGCAGTCCTAACGATGACATCTCAGTTAGGCAGGGTCCTAACAATGACACCTCATTTAGGCAGTCCTAACAATGACACCTCATTTAGGCAGTCCTAACAATGACATCACATTTAGACAGGGTCCTAACAATGATACCACATTTAAGCAGTCCTAACAATGACACCTCATTAAGGCAGTCCTAACAATGACACCTCATTTAGGCAGTCCTAATAATGACATCACATTTAGACAGGGTCCTAACAATGATACCACATTTAAGCAGTCCTAACAATGACACCTCATTTAGGCAGTCCTAACAATGACACCTCAGTTAGGCAGTCCTAACAATGACATCTCAGTTAGGCAGTCCTAACAATGACACCTCAGTAAGGCAGGGTCCTAACAATGAGTTAGGCAGTAAGGCAGATCTAGTCCTCACATTTACACCTTAGTTAGGGAGATCTTGTTACAAACAGACCTTAGTTAGGCAGATCTAGTCCTCACATTTACACCTCAGTTAGGGAGATCTTGTTACAAACAGACCTTAGTTAGGCAGATCTAGTCCTCACATTTACACCTCAGTTAGGGAGATCTTGTTACAAACAGACCTTAGTTAGGCAGATCTAATTACAATCAGACCTGGGTTAATCAAGCTTTTGTAACAACTACATCTTGACATTTAGAATGGTTTTCTAATAATATCACCTCCTCAGATATGCAGGTTTCCTAACAAAACTCCAGCAAACTCGCTATATGCAGCACTGCAGTTATCTGGAATTATAGACAAGCTCAGATCTAAATGGTGAAAAGTGTCTTCTGTGTGAGTCAGTCAAAATCAATATATTTTTTTAAAGAAGAGCTGTTTTTATTCATCCTCAGTGAACTCAGCCTTAACATCTCACAACAGCAGCATTAACATCTTTTTCCCAATGTGCTAAATATGCTGTGAAGGCCAGTAAAAAGTGCATACTGGAGGTTATGACACCTTTAATCCCTGTACTTGTCCTGTATCAGCCTCTCTACCAATCAATAGACTGAGTCATAAGGCATCCCTGGGGATTGACAGACAAGGAAATGTCAAAAACCACTCAAATGACAAGTCTCTACAGCATTTTACACAACTGTTGTGTATAAATATCATATTGGAATGCACGGCAGTAACAACTGTTTTCAACTACTTCAAAATCAATGGACAAGGTCAGAAGGTATGTAAGGTAAAACAAATTCGACTAAGAGATGACGACACAGAGGACAAACAATATTAAGAAAAGCCACATCCAAGAACAGCAATCTTCAGTAACAATGAAATAAAGACTAAACCAACCCTGTTCAATTGATTATAACACAAAAATACATTGTGTACTTTTCAAATCAGGCACAAAAATGGACACTAAAAGGAAGACAAATGACAATATGAATAACGGGCAATATTAAGCCTACTAGAGACTTTGGTATATCTGTATACCAGCCAACAGACTGACAATGATTTTACAATCAGTGTATACATAGCTGTCTACATCTGGAGGACTAAATATGATCTAACTTTGACCTTCAAAGAATTGTATGACCTTCAAGACAACAATCTGTATACAAAAAAAAAACATTCAACATGCGAGACAAAAGACTTTTATACACACAAGATTACTCCTGCATTTACATCATTTGATAATGAATACACTCAATACAGTATTGTTTTTAAATAGGTAACAAAAACAACATGGTCGAACGAAATCCATCAAACAATTCACCTTTATACTGTTTTTATCCTGCAATATCCCCAGTCTGGTAATAAGCCTGCATGTCCTTATGTATTACTAGTAGATCAGCAATGCTATGTCTAGTGACAAGACCACCAGCTGACTTTAAGTAAGAAGTACTGTGTAAGGCCTCTTGACTTATTGTCCTGTAATAAGCCCACTCCCTGATTTTAATTAAGAAATGTGTTGGACCCCTAGGTCTAAGATAAACACAGTAGTTCTTTGGCTTATATAGGTTTCATATAGAAAATTGATGGATATACGATAAAAAAAAATCTATAATATCCATTTTTTCCCCCTTAAACACAAGTCATATGAAATCACAGCATGTATCTATGCTATTAATTTTAACCTTTCAGACATGTTATACAAAGTCACAGCACGTATCAGAGATAAAACAAGATATAACTTGTTGGTAACTCCTGACCATGTAACCTACCTGCTTGGTAATGTTTGAAGGTGTTGGCATATGCCTTGTCCAGTTCGGAGGCGCTGGAATGACTTTTCTGTTCCTCCCAGTGTACAGGTGATCCTGCTGTCCCAACTTCCAACTCTATATCAGTATCTGTATCAGGCACGTAACCTGCAAAAAATTTGTTTAAAGTGCCTAAATTTATTTAAAATTATGTCGTATTGGAAATTCTTATTGCGGCAAAATGATTAATACTTTTTTTTTTTGTTTAAGGAAGTATGCTCACAAGTTATCTTAGCAGTCTACAAAGTTGAAATAATTTATCAGCCGGGCGTGTAACTTTACATGACAGAATCAACAAAATTACTGAACATGTGTTTCAGGTACTGCTATATCAGACAAGACAAGCCTCTCTGTCATCACCCTTCCAGTCACAAACCTCATCCCCCTTCGAACTCCTCCCAGGATAATGGTCAGTTGTTAAATCTTGTTAGTACAGATACACAGACAGGTGTAATGACCTAAATCCACCACAACACTGACAACAATTGGTAACATTACCCATTAACATTCATATTCTACCTCTCGGCAAAATTATCTCATCCTTGACTAAGTCTTATAGGTATTGCTAGATACAACATCACACAAACAGCTTCACCTTACCTGGATAAACTGCCACTGTTTCACCTGATGAGTGGCTACTTAGCTACCTCTCACAGATAAGTCCATTTTTGTATATATATATCTTATGAATGAACATATGCAAGCATTTACTTGACTTGCATAACAATGCATAACTGTAACTATTTGAATTTTACTAACCACTATAAATAACTTACCACCTGTCCCCAAAAATATCTGGACTGATGAACGTGGCCCCGGCACAAATTTTATCTCTCGCAGATATTGTTACTTGTGTGTTATCTTATTACCACCGTGAAGTGATGAAAACTGTACATCTCCCAAAAGTTATCACATCAATGTAAAACTAGACCTTTTAAGTAATCAATTTACAAAAGTCTTCAAATGTATCTGGTAAATAGTGTTTTTTTCTTTAACGTGAAATTTCATGCTTGGAGGATTCTAAAAGAGTGCAGAAACATTATGCATTAATTACAGGTATAAATATGTGTACCTGAGCTTCAGGTGAAGGGCACAGGTGAGGAGCTACAAGTCACATATAGTAGCATAATAAATTGTTGCTATGTTTTTACATGTAATGTCAATGATACGATGATAGGAACACAAGTCTGCACGGCATTCCGGCTCCATCATATACATTATGTAGCCCACAATACACCCACACAAATGTTGTTTAAAACAGGTAATACAAACCACAAAGCTTTTAAGACATGGAAAAAGTGCTCAGAATACAGAATACTTAAAGTGATATAAGCCTTGAAACATGTTTGAAACTTGCATGAGAAGAAAACATTACAAATGACAATTTTAAAAGCTTCAACAAATCATAAAGAATCTCTTTAATATTTGTGACATATTTTGTAATGAATGTCTCATTGCCAAAATTAACACTGTCTTTACAAGGCTAAAAAACAGTGAATGACAACCCCAACCCCCATCCATCAACCCTTATAGTTTTTCTTTGATAGTCCAATTTCCAATTTTTTTTTTTCACTACCTTAATTTAAAATGCTTTCCTTTCCATCTGGTTTTTTCATTTATTTGCACAAATTTGGATTTTCTCAGTCACCGCCATTGTTTCAATGATTTAGGCTCTAAGCAACAATAACAAGTCGTAGAAGGATGAAACAGCCATATGATGTGCAGCTGAGTTCATTATTTGACTCTTTTGTGACTCTGCTCAGTTCTCTAACCAACTTTTTTGTACAATATAAAGATATATCAAGGCCCCATTGATGCTTTCATATGTTATGGAAAATTTTGTTTGGTTTAGACAGATCTGAATAATTCATTTGTGCCTACCTTTGAATATTCAGATAGATGTGCGAAGTTTGCTTTCCAAATTACTTTAAATAATGCATGAAGAAAGTTGGACTAATAGTCGAAAGTGATTAGTTTAAAATCCAACAGTCCTAGCTTGAATGCATAAAACAAATTATAATTCAGTTTTCACCATCAATTTCAATCACATCAGAAAAAAAACTCTCAAGTTCCTCAACAAAAACTTTAAATTCATTGACTATAGTCTAATAAAATTTACAGCAATCTGCATGGAAATATGACTAATAGAGAGTGAACCTACCTGTGTCTGCACTGGTGGTAGATATGAGAGAGAGTGGCCTCCCCTGTTTCAGATGCCCAGCCTCTAAGTCGGCTCTAAGCAGCGAATCATTCGAATGTCCATCTTGTAAATCATGTCCACCACTCACCGACCCTACACCTCTTATATTAGCAAGGCTAGAAATATGGTCAACATCCTCCAACACACTTTCCAAATTCTGAGATCGACGGAATTCACCTGAGTCAGCCATGTTTTGGGACCGTCTCATTTCACAAGAATCAGTCAATCCAATACCAGAATCAGTCATAGGCCGTTTGGATCTTTGAGAGAGTAACTGTTCTACTTCCACTGGTCCGCCACTCTTAATTAACTCTTCACCTGTAATTCCGACGTTTGGTATTAACGCTTCTTTTCCATCCTGATCTAATGTAGAAATTGAAAACGTAGAATTTTTCACATTTTGAATTTCAATGTTGACTTGTCGAACATTTTCCTCTTGTTCCACTTGGTTTTCACTGCCGTAAGATTCTCTGTCATCATTTTCACCATCTGATGCCTCTTGTCGCCAGTCAAGCGTATCCCCAGTATTTACAGGCAGCAGGTCTTTATGTTCAATCTCAAAAGTTGCAGCCAAACTCCTTTTTGACAGAGATTTTCTTGATCCATGTGAGAGAGATTCTTGTTCAGCATGTTTTGCTATCAGATCCTGTTGAGACAGTAATTTTTCTGGTGTTGAGGTCACGGCATGATCGAGAGAGAAAGTATCACTAAGGGAGGCAACTCTATCTGTTCTTTTTGACACACTAAATGTATGTTTGAGTTTTTCACTGTCAGTTAAGTTTCCATCTATACCAAGTAGGTCAGTACTGAAATCGGCACCATTGACGTCAACTAGACCAAGACTGGAATTACTACTATCCAAGTTATTGCGAGGCTGTGTGGCATCTTTTGCTGATACTGCCTCTAACACACCAGTATCCTTAGGAAGGTGTTGTGGGGAGCTGTTATTGCTTCCTGTGTCAAAGGTCAAATTGAAGTATTGCCTTCGGTCACTACACAGGCACTCTTTGGCATCAGTGCTAAGCGAATCGTCACCACTGGAGCTCTCTGTCAGAGGGCGATGGTGGTCGACCACGTCTGGGAGATTATCACTTAGAGTATAGGTTTTACTGAAATCTTTTACATCTTGTCTTCTTTGGGTTGATTTCTCCTCTTTACATATCAGCTCAATATCTGCTGCCACCTCTGTATAATTATACTCCTCGCTCCTGGAAGGGGCCACTTTAGAATATGCAGGCAGACGTGATCGTTTTGGCGAGGACTTAACATTTGTGAAATCCTCCTTGGTATAGGTGTCACTGAGACTCTTCTTGGCATTCAAGTCCCAGCATTGGTTATCACCGACTAACTTGGGTGAATTTCTTGCCCGAAGCTGTTCTTCTAAGTAACGGAGCTCTGTCTCATCTACAGTATCAGTAATGTCCTCGTTCTGCTCCTCAATGCATGATGGTATGGCAATTCTCTCCCGTGAACCTGTACGAGCGTAGGTTTTTGGCTGGGGAAGGAGTCTGCGTGAGAGTCGCTGTTGACTAGCTAAAGCCTGTTGGTAATCACTTTCGTACGCCTCATCAGCTCGACGATCCCCAACCTTAGTGACCTTTTCAACAGGAGCAAATATACCATGTCCTGGTCGACACCGAAAGTACCTCACACCCTGTACCTGTCCATCGTGTTTTCCTTCCGGTTCATCTAATTCGACCCCACAGAAGATGCCATCAGCCAGGTGAGTGCGTCCATAGTAGAGGACAGTGCCCTGTTTGATGCCTCCTATGTACACACGCTGACCAACATATAGTTCCTGGTGGGTGTCAACAGGCTGGTAGTGTGAGATTGTCCCCTGGTGGTCTGACAGCCCCGCCACTTTGGTGGAGGGAGCAGGAACTCCTCCGAAAGTCTTTGGACCAGGCAGAAATGACTTTCTTCTCCTGGGACTTCCCTCCAATCCAGACTGGTATGCCTGCAAGAATAAGGCAAAAACGTCACAAATTCATGTAATAAGGTCAAAATGTCACAAAATCATGTAATAAGGTCAAAAGGTCACAAGTTCATGTAATAAAAAGTGTCACAAAATCATGTAATAAGGTCAAAATGTCACAAAATCATGTAATAAGGTCAAAATGTCACAAATTCATGTAATAAGGTCAAAAGGTCACAAGTTCATGTAATAAGGTCAAAATGTCACAAAATCATGTAATAAGGTCAAAAAGTTATAAATCTTATAAAAGGGTCAAAATCATCACAAACTTCTATCACAGGTTAAAAAGGTCATGAATGTCTATAAAGGCCATAACGCTTCACTGGTACACACAATAGTTACGCAGTACCTGTGTTTCTGGAACATATATTTTTTCTGGTGATGAAGATGACAGGTCTTTGTTTTTATTATTTCCTATTATTCATAAAATCATTTAACAAACCATTAATTTTTTCGATATACACTAAAAGAGAATGCAGGTACTCGGAGGTCAATCTAACCCGTCTACTGCCAAGAACACTTTTATCCAGACTCCAAGGTAGTCTTAATGCAGAAGTTAAGAGAACCATTCAAACAAGGGTTTGTTAACCCATGCAGGATATCGTTCATTTTCACTCAGTCTTCAATTTATCCTTAAACAATACAGCTTCAAGAAAAATTTTTAGTCTGGCTTTTATTTTTCTGTTGACAAAAAATTGTAAAAGGTTTATCGACAATCGACTTACTTAGGAATAAAATCCAAGTTCAATACAAGTTCAAATTCCAACTACCAAACAAATCACTGAAATATTATTTAATTTAAAAACAAAAAGAAAACAAAATCTTTATCACTATGACTCATGATCATAATTAACTTGTCAAATATAAACTTGAATGTGAACACAATACTAACTTAGTCATCACATTACATAATCTTTTCTCCTTACATCCTATATATAGAATTGGATTTGTTTTGATCTCTGAGAAAAAAAACCCATATAACTACTTCTGGCAACTTTTCATATATTAAATTGCTACTCAGCTTCAAACATGACTTGATAAAGATGTGCACATGTCACTGTTTTTATGAGTAGATGAAACGGCGGGTCAGTCCAGTGATGTTCTATAGAAGTGAGACTCAGTTGGGACTACATCAGTCTTGAAGCATAAATATTGATTACTTGCTTCTACAAGTGGACATTTTTACTGGAATGTTGGCAGGAATTGCTTATAAACACACATTTCTGGTATCCTAAATATTTTACACATCGATAGATTAAAAAATAGTTTCAAGTTTGGTAAAACATCAAACAGCACTAAATTATAGATCAAGCTTTTTCAGTTTCCCTGAATCTTCAATAAATATTAACAGGGATAAAATAATTCTAAATTGATCAGTGAATTTGATGTTGATACTTGAACTGTCCAAGTATACAGAACTTGCTAGCAGCACTGTTCAATCCTATGTATCTACGTCACATGGTTAAGTGTTTTCATTAAATATTCATCCCTGTATACTGTTGATGCCCATTAACTATCAGTGTACTGTACAGCTGATGTTCTATGGGGATTTAATTCCTCTACATGTAACAGTTTACCACTTATCTCTGAAGCTCGAGGCAATCACCAGGAAAACTATTTTGTCTGCTTGCAAAGAATATATATCCAGCACAGGAACACTGGACATAGATCAGGAAGAGAAAGGCTTTATTTTGCTTTGATGGAAATGAGTTCAATCATTAGTGGCATAGCCTTAAAATAACTACATTTCAGGATTAGAATTCAACCAATAGAAGACATTAAGTTTGACATTAAACAATGTCAACAAATTGAAAAATATGAAACTATTTCATATCCAATAACATCTGATAATATTGATGTAAAATTCAAACAACGTTCTGCCTCTTAAACAATTACAGACCAATAAATAGACAAGAAGATGAAGTCTAACAAAAACCTAACAAACCAACCCACCAGCCATTGGAGGAACAAATAGCAAAGTACTAAAGATTCAGCATATCGCAACAAGGGCAGGAAACCGTCTTAGGAAATGTTGTTCAGAAAAAGTCTCATTGGGAAAGGTTGCTATCAGAAACAGTATCCATGGAGAAGGTTGCCATCAGAAACAGTATCCATGGAGAAGGTTACCATCAGAAACAGTATCCATGGAGAAGGTTGCCATCAGAAACAGTATCCATAGAGAAGGTTGCCATCAAAAGTCTCCATGGAAAAGGAGGCCATCAAAGAGAGTATATATAGAAAAGGTTGGAAAGGCTACTGAGGCACTATATGCATATGAAAGATGGTTATTTAACACATGTAGTGTCCATGAAAGCAATGATTTACAGGCAAGATATATCAATTTACTTCTCTCATATCATATCCAGCTCATTTTCATGTCATTTGCAAGTAAGAACTTACCAACAGTGAATAAACAGCACAATTAGAATTAAAGCATAAGAAATATAGTCACACATACAGTTGTGAACTTTAGAAACATCTGTGTCATTATAACTATCACTCAGACAATGACCTAATCATCAATCCTTACAGCTGGTAGTTGTAGGCTATTTATTGATTTCTAATGTCTGAATGAACACCAGGATATTGTGAACATATTAACCTGGATAGCTACCAATTACATGCTTATTTCTATATTGTGAATGGTTTGTAATGTTTTTCACAGTCATTTTTTTCATGAGAGATGATACCAAATTTATATACAGCAAAATCTGTAATTTTTGTGGGTGTTTTATTTTCGTTAATCTTTTTAGTTCTCTTAATCAAATGTGTTGTTGATCCGATTACTGAAGTTTGGTTATTTACAAGGGGTGCTATTTTACAATATTTCCAAGGATGAAATGAAACTGCTAAAAAAAAGAAACCCTGAAAATCAAATTACCTGGTAATAAAAAAAAAATCACACATCAATTTTGAGAAAAAAAATGTCCTTTTTTAATCAAAGTTTTGATAAAACTGTAATAATTTTCACTAACAGTACCTAACAGTAATTTCTTTGATAGACTCTTTATTTCTTATTAAAATCAGGAAAATTCAGTCCAATAGAATACCTGTTTTTTTTTCAAATTCTCATGATTTTACACACAATTGAACAAACTTTTATCTCATGCAGATTCACCAATCTACTCTGATCAAATATCTGGTCATAACACCCTTCAAAATCACTGGCAAAAGGATATAATTTTGGGGTCATCATACAAGTAAAAGTGCTTTGTCATAAAACTTTATCATATTCTGTTAGGTTTACATATCAAAATGATCATCTATGTACAGAAACATCAAAGGACACTAGTATTTATCACAACACAGCAGCTACTAGGTCTTGGTGTCCATTATCAGGAAATCTAACAAAACTGAATAGGTGTCTTTGTCTGATTGTACCTTACCAATTCAAATCCATATGATTCAAAGAACAATCACCAAAATAAACTTATATATCAAAGAGCACAGAATTTAGAAAACCAACACAAACTCATTTCAATTCATCCTCTTCCATAGGGTTTTTGTTTCGGTTAAGTTAAAACATAGACAAGCTTATAAAAAGATGCGGTCATCAATGTTAACTTTATCATGCAACAGAAAGCTTTAGGCTAATATCCTATGGAAATAAAAGGATTATGGCAAAATGGTGCTGACTCAGTATGTACACAAACCCATTACAAGCCATACCAATTCAGTCAGGAATCAATGAAATGGTGAACAGATATGCTAAACAGTAAATATTGATATCTGGTAAGTGTAAAGTCTACTATTCTGCACTGTAGACACATCAAGTCTAGCATCTCAATAGGTACCTGGGACCTTTTCATGAAAATAAAGTTTGTTCTTTTAAGAAAAAATTAGCAATAATTGAGAATTATGCTGAAGTCTTATCAGTTTTGTTAGTGTTCAACTGAAACAGTACAATCACCAACCGATATTGATGTTGCTATGCAGGCATCCAACTGAATCAGACACTAGTAAGCAGCCGATGTCCTTATCAACTGCTGTTCGATAAAATCTTATGCTTTATTCATTGTCCTGTAATAAGCCCACCCCTGATATTGAGTAAGCAGTAACATGTTACCCCATGAGCTTATTGCAGGAACAAGTACATAAAAAAGCAAGTACTAAGAAAATCTAATGCAATTTTCTAAGGGGGCATAAAATTCTACTAGAAGTATACACAACCATAATCAGGAAATGATGCATATCTGTAGATCAATGCTGCTACAGGAAGTCCACTCAAACAAATTTCTACTGGAGAGAAAAGGAGAAATTGAAGGAAAGTCCCCCGAACGTTTGGTGTCTGATGTTTAATCCTATAAATAACATCATCAAACAGCACATATTAGTTGACAATAGCCTTTGAATGAGATTTTAATGTCATTGTATATAACAACCAGAAGAGTCCACTATCACCCAGTGGAGACCTGATTGGTTAAACCTCTCAACATTCCTCAGTCTATAAATTTATGATGTAACTATTCTTCATTCCTGTCTAATTAACATTGACATCTCGGACCGTTTCATCACATGGCTAACACGCCTAATTTATTTACCACTTCATAATCCACTTAAATGGGCCACAAGTGTCATCAGCAGACATTTATATACAGTCCTTGTAAACAGTTAAGTGACAAACAAATCTATTGAAGAATACATCTTTACCCGATTCCTACAACCAACAAAACGCTACAAAGATTTGAACATGCCGTCCCGTCGTGCTAAAACACTAAGACTTCTGTGAGGAGTGTCTGGGTGTGTACCTATCTGGAGTCAATAGACCTGGTATTGACATATATTTACCCACCTGTACAAGTAGAGCACACAAAGTTATGTTTGTTTATACTTTAAATGACAGAGTATACAGTTCCAATATACACACAATAAACGTCAATATGTAATCAAATCCTTGATTGTTCCAAGTGTAAATTACCTGGATTCATTTCTACATAGGTACACCTTAATAACAGGTGTATTACGCGCTAATAACAGGGGAA